TTGCCATTTATGGACACACAGCTTCTTTCTGAAGAGCAAGAGCTATAACTGTTGGAACAGCACATCAAAACAGACTGTACAGAAGAAGTTGCATTGGGAGTTTACAAGTCTTAACTGTGAGCCTCTGAGGGCATCATGATACAAATAAAAATCATGCTGCTGCCCAAGAGTAATAGTTAATGGCCCATGCAGAAAGCTGTCTGAATCTCTAATAGCATTTGAATACATGCAAGTCTTGCTGAGAAACTTGTTAGATGGAGATGTTGATAGAAAACAGGCCAGAAATTAAATTTGATAAGTAGAAAGCCTTGTCAGCAGTGTGAGAGTGACGAGAAATAGGTACATCTTTAAACAAAACTTACTTGAAGTGTGATGCACTCCAGAAATGCCTTTTCTTTACACTGACTGTAAGAGGAACCTATATTGGCCCAGATGCATATGCATGTGTGCACCAAACATGGCATGGCTTCTGTCTCTGGGGTTTTACCAAAACCACCTTAAATAAAATCATGGTGTGGCTTTATGCCTCACACTTTATCTGTAATATGTGATATTACCCAGACCTCTGCTTCTGCATTTGAAGCACTAATAAGGAAGCAGTAAAGCAAGAAAAAAGTAGTCTTCTGAAACATGGTGTCAATGGTTATATAAACAGCAAGTGCTTGCCACATGGCAGCCAGTGTATTTTGTTGCATATATAGAGTGATTTATGTGCACAGTAGGAACTTGGTAGGAAATGAGACAGCACAGCTTAGAATTTTTTTGCAGAAGGCCTACATAAATTATACAGTTGTTCTTAACAGTTATTTATATTTATGAAGTGCCAAGGAATTTCCAATTAAAGTAAAATTATTCTTTTTTTGTTGTTTTAGATGTGTGGTATTTAAAAACAAAATCTATTCCGGAATTATTTCTGCTCCCTCACTCACCTTTTGATATCTCACATAGTTTTTTACCACAAATGGATTGTGGACTAGACACTGGCTTTATGGAGCATTCTGTCCTAACTCAATTTGGAAACTGAAAGGAAATGCTAGCATGAGCGGCTTTCCCAAGGTTGTGCCTGAAGTGTATATACACATTTAGTTTTTGTCTTGTTGATGAGCTGTTATCCCTGCATGGATTATGACTATGGCAGAAACTGCTATCATAATATTCAAAACCTAAATAAAGATCTGCTGTCTAAAAAAGAAGAGGCTTTCTGCTTCCTCAGTGGGTGATGAAATAAAGATGCAGGGATCAGTAAAGATGGCAATAATTAATATAAGCCCCCTCAATGCTTCTATGAAATAAGTTCTGTAACTGCTTTTGGTGGAAATGCAGACGTAAAACAGGGCATGTGCGCAAATGCTGAGGATAAGGAGAATAATAGCTTCTAAAAGCAACACCCTGGAAACATTTTATTGGTGGAAAACATGCAAATGCACAAAATAATACTGGAGGCTGTTGTGGAAGCTACAGAAATAAACCATGATATTACTTATCATTCACATTGATCACTGAATTGTGACAGCAAATTAATGTTGTTTTTTGAGATTTACCTATTGTGAAAACAATACATGCTGGTAAGACAAGAACAATGTGCTGGCTCTGATTAAAATGAAAAAACAATTAAAGAATAGATTGAAGGGGCCATGTTTTGTATCATTTACTGCTGTTGCTTTGAAAATGCAAGTATTAAAAGGATTTTGTACAATTAAATTAAAGGAGAAATAACATGAGTTTGTTTGTTCTCAGGGTGGGAATGAGACTACACTAGGAACTTTAGAAAATCTAGAAAGCAGACAAAACTGCTTTAAAATCTAGCAGTGTATTTATAGCTGACTAATAATATTTAGCTTAAAAATATCATCCACCTTATAGATTAGTAAGCCTAAGTACAAATATATGTTACATTTGTTTTCAAATATTTACACATTTTGTGTATTTCAAAAGGTAGCAGAGTGGATTACAAAAGATTAACAGTTCTTTCTGAAGGATGTGTAACAAAGTTTTCAACAGTTCTGCTCAACTGCCAAAACAATTTTGTAATTAAAGGTGGCATTTCATATTATCATTATGTAGGCCATGGAAGTGTTGAGGTGTGATCCATAGAAGACACTTTTCTCCCTAACATATGGATGAAAGAAGCATAAAAGCATTTTTTTGTATAGGTTACTTTTGTACAGCAAGTGAACAGCTCTGCAGACTTTATCTCAAAGAAGGTGAAGACAAAAATGATGGATAGAAACTTTTACTCATTGACTACAGAATGTTTTAGTGGTTTGGTATGTGCTAACTGTGATGTAGTACAGTACTGGGAGACTGAGAGATGATAAAGAATTGATGTGTAGTTAGTGGGACACCTATATATAGCTCTTACCTAAAAGCACATAGCAGCAGAGCAAACGGAGTGTATGCACTCAGTGGTATGCATTAGCTCTCATTGACTTCACACTCTGACTTTCTTCAGGAAATATAATTACCTTAACCTGATTTCTAGAAATTCTCTAAATTCTAGAAATTGTCTAAAAAAAAAAAAAAAAACATAGGTGTTGAGTCTTTTCAAAAGACATGGATGAGTTCTTTTGATGAGGAAAGATGTGCTGCATGAAAAAAAAAGCAACGTGCATGCACTTGCCCTGGGAAACTGCTCTTGGACCAGCCTGACACTATGGCATCCCTATAATTCCTGAAAACTTCTAGAATTTGTGATGCTCATTCTTATCAATTAAATTCCTCAGTTGCAGGACTGAAAATAGTGTTACTTGTGTAAAACTTTTGGGGAGAATGGAAAAGATTTTCATTTTCATTCCTGAGTATCAGCAGTGTTTTCAAATATAGTCCACTAAAATAGAGAGAAGTGTTTTCTGGCCAGTAATTGTGCTGTGAAATACAAAGAGAAAGGCAAAAATACACACTCATACATGTCTTTATACGAAGTTGTGTAAATTAAATTAAAATTTCTATTTTTTTATACAAACATCATTCTAACAGCAGCAATGCATTTTTGATGCTCCTATCTAAAACTTATTTACACTATGACAGTGTTGAGTGCCTTCCTTCTGTGAGCCATTTTACACAATGACTGTCCTTGACCAAACCAGAAAATTAATTTGATTTCTCTAATGCAAAAGGTAATTGGATTTCTCTTTATAGAATGCATCCCTTTAATGACTGTCTCTACTTCAGCTAATTTAGCTGCAACCAACCTGACATTGGTCTGGTGATATGACTTTAAACAAATGCCAAAGCTGCGAGATGCAAGACCGACTGGTTTTAGAAAGAACATTTTCTGCCTCATCTTGCCATTTTCCTCAGAAAATGTCTCCTTCTTGAATGTCAGTCTTATGAAACATGCTACTCTAGTAATTGGTCATAAAGCAGCCGATTGCATCCTTCTAACAAATAAGTGTTTCCTAGAAAGCATCCAGAGAAAATTTGAAAGTTGAATAAAACCTCTTGAAATATTTGTCCTTCTTTGCAAGTATTCATTACTGTGTAGACTCTTCCTAAGAGAAAAAGGTGTTCCTAAAGTAGTGAAATAAATCTTTACAGAGGTCTTGTTCAGTATTACATATTTATCAAAATACTTATTTAGATAATGGGGATCTTATAAAAATGTATCATAGCATGCTGATCTGAGAAAAGTTTTACCTACATAAAACAGTAAAGATGGTATTTTGGATACAACCTGTTCTTTCTTCAGGCAAGGATTAATAAAATCCCAGAATATGTATTTCTATTTATTTAATATAGTCATTATCCCTTGGACCCAATCCTTCAGGCTAAAATGCTGAATGCTTTTAACCCCAAATGCACTTAGAACGAAAATGTAGAAGTTGAATGTAGTTTATACATAGTTTTAATTTAATCATGGGTCATGTGTTCCTCTTGATAAACGCTGTTAATGTTGTTGATTGAAAGTGGTAGCTCACACTCTGGATAGTAAACTGGATTTTAAAATCTCTGTATATAAAAAAAAAATGTAGTGGAAAATAAAACCAAGAAAATTTGACTTCAATTTGAAGTTATTTCCTTCTGTATCCTTATTAAGAATTATTTTTATACAAATCAAAATAGTAATTTTCCACTGTCTACCGCTACCAGTGTCAGATAGTAAGAATTTGTTTTATGTATCTGTATGTTGAAGCAGGTGCTCATCTCTGTTTCCGTTATCTGTTCAGTTATCCCTTGATCTTTACGTATGGGTAGGTTTTCCAGTCTTCTGGAGCTTTTGCAAAATGGAATTGATAAGATTACTGTAATGTAAGATTCAGGGCTTTTTGGTACAGTTAACTTGAAGTAAATGGATATGAAAGCACAGCTTCCCAAAGATGCAAGTGCTTAGGGGTATTCACCTCTTTCATTTAGCTAGAAGTCTTTTTCAATACTTATGTGTACCACCCAGAAGTAGTGTATGCATATGAGTCTCTTTAGATAGGAATTATGAAAATGTGAATAAATATTTCATACCTTTTAAACTTTGTGCAAGTTTTAAGGGGTCTTTATATCTCTAGTCCCAAGTGTGCTTTTCTTACTGATACTGGGAAGCGAGAGGGTATTATAAATGACATATAGTGCTAATCCACAGGCTGACATTCCTTGGCTGCAATTCTGATTTCAAGAGTGGAAATTCTTCTGATGCTGCTCTCAGGGAAGAGGGTCCCCTCTCCCAGGTTGGACCAGAAAGCTTCTTAGCCATAGGGTACATAGCTGATGTACTGTAAGTTGCTGTGACTTTTAGACTAGCACCTCTTCTTTTCTCATCTTTGTAACTCCACAGGTTTTCTACCTTCTTAAGGAGTTGCATGCACATCTGGGGCAGAATGTGTAGGCCAATAAACTTTATGATGATTGCAAATAACATTAGAGATACTATTTTTCTACTGTCAAACTTTTAAAATTATCAGAACTGAAAGAGGTGTTTCATACATAAAATGAAGTGCTCTTAAAGTCCTTGCTAGCACTTTCTTTTGGGACACCAGTTTACCTATATATTATTTCTTCTTTCCCTGTAGGTCACAGATATGATGCTTCAGGATAAGCCCTATCCAGACTGGGGAAAGTCTGCCAGAGCTTTCTGGAAGAAGGGAAACATTAGGATCATTTTATTCTGGTAGGAAAAAAGTAAAATTGTTATAAATGAGCCTTTGCTAAACCATCAAAAAATGTATCTTCTAATTGTCTGTGGCAGGATAAAGAAATAGAATATATGGTTGGAAAAAAATGAAATTTGCTCTAACAAAAAATTAAGCATTACAAAAGCTGTACCTGAGTGAAAAATTCCTAATCAGAATAGTTGGTGTGAAAATAACTTAAAATTTGGTTTATACTGGGGTTTTATTATATCTTTAACACTCTTTATAACTGAGTTGCGAAAATTTTGCTGTGTGTGTTATTGGGTATCTCATTGTCAGTCTTTGTAACTAAGGGAAGTAGATATGTTAATGTCTTTTTGTGACTATGAAATTGATTATAGTAATTCTTTGAATTAACACATGAATAGGATTTCAAATGAAGGGAAAAAAAATCAATGCAAAATAATGTGAGGGATAAGCATTTTTTGACCTTAAATATAGCCTCTTCCAGGTAAATTCAGGCCAAGGGTAATTGTTGAAACAGAACACAAATTGTGGTAGGAAAAATGGATGGTGGAAAATGTTTACTCTAAGAGGCAGTCTGAAGATCTTAGAGCAGAAGATGAAAAAAACTGCAAAGATTTTTTCAACTACAACATAAGCAGGAAGGCTCATGAAAATACCAAAGGACCTGCTGGTTTTAAAGAGCAGGTTCACAAGGAATTGTTACAGAGGAGTTGAAAGATGTATTTATATGGATTCTGCTACAGAAAATGCAATACTTTTAAGGCAGTAAAATTATGTATTTTATTAAATTGAGGCAATTAAATAAGACAAATAGAAAGATAAAAAGAAAGCAGAATCATATAGACCGATTGATAGGCTACAAACAAGGTTTGTAAGGAACTGAAGGGGCTGAGCTGATGCAAATTTTATTAGCACTTAAATGCCCATTGAAAAACTGAATATTAAAATATGGCTATTGTTTTGCTTTTGTTGCTTTTTTTCCATCAAACTAGAATTATCCTTCTGGTGTGTAAGTTAGAGTTCATTATTAGGTAAATGGATCGAATACATCATCAATAATGGAATTATGAACAAAATTCTAGATTAAATTCTGCTAAAAGAAGCCAGGGTCTGTCTGATCTGTTAGAACTGTTTGGACATGTCATCAAAGTAATGGATGAGGGAGAAACGGTTGATCTAATTTATTTGGACTTTCAAAAGGCTTTTGACAAAGTTCTTCACTGAAAGCAATTAAGAAAACTAGTAAGCCCCATGGAGTGTGCTGAACATTTAGGAATCATCTTTGTAGCGTGCAGTGAAAGGTATAAATAAAATTATCATTTTCTGCTATGTTCATAAGACCAGGGAGTCCCATTACTTAACGTTAAACTCAGTATTTGCATACGTCATAAATATTAGTGACATGAAAGGATTTAAAGGGAAGTGAATAATTTGAAAGATGCTAGCCTAAAAGAGGGATCTTAGAAAGCTAGGTGAAAAAAATAACATGATTGAAAAGTTCACGCTGTGGGGTGGGGAGGCTCAAAGAGCTCCTTGTCATCATTACAGGATGTGCAGAACAAGATTTGATCTCAGTGTCCCAGAGTGTGCAAAAAGGTAAAGCAGATGAATAAAAAAATGCTCAGAGAGGTACCAAGTGGGCTAGGAATCATTCCAGTGTCATATTGTTCAGTCAGCAAAAAACTCAGTCTAGAACATCATTGATTTTTTTTACGCTTGTCTGAAGAATAGGATTGTCTGAAGGAGTAGAAGGAGATTAGTTAATAGTCAAGTTGCACAAAAAGACTGGAAGAATGGAGAAAGGGTTAAAAGCAAGGTGACAGGGAGATTCCAAATTCATATGCCAGACAGGGAGAATGATATATTAAAAACACTTCAATATTTTTGTGAGAAATTGAGAGATGTTTTTGCTTCTGGTTGTGTGAAAAGTTATAAATTGATGTCTTCTTTCAAAGAATATTCACATTAACAAATCCTACCAGAGTTTTAAAACTGAGATAAAGTAAAAAATGGTGGTTGTTCTCATGCATGGTTCTCGTAGTAAAGAGTATGCTTAATGGGGATTTTAAAACCCAAAGGGTGACATAAATATTTTTTAGTTTTAAGCAGTAAAATAAAATAGCCCTGGGACAGACTACATTCTGTGGAGACATTATTTATATAGCGTATGTTAGACATCGATACAATTAGACTTTTTTTTTTCCCTAATGCATAGGAAAAATGGAAGGAAGAGTTAAAATGTTATGCATGGTAATGCGCAGTATTTGGATTTCATTTATTATTGCTTAAGCGGTGTGATGTGAGCAGCCTAATTTCTGAAATGTCCTAAGTGAGGCATCCTCAACAGTATGTCCTACACAGATACTGGTATGCCAAAATCCATTTATTCATGACATTTCCTAGTGGCACACCTGTTTAGCAGAGATAGTGTAATAAAGAGCACTGTATTTTAATTATTCCAAATGTAGGTATGTAATGCACAGTTTAAAGCAACTGATGAAACAGAAGTATTAGCTCCACACTGGACTTGTTTTAATGTTCCCATCAGTTTTATTTCAGGGTTTACTTTGTAAAATTACAGAATGTCTCTAAACATACCAAAGACGGACTGTCATGGTGATGAAGGTACTATCCACTTGTTTATAACAGTTGACCATGTGACTGCTTTGCGTTTCCTATTTGGAAATATTTTCAGCTCTCCCTTGCAACTAATTGGCAAAGGATTTGGTTTAAATCATTCCCTGGAAATATTGCCAGCCACTGGTTGTTGGTTGCTCCTGACGATTCCGGCTGCCTTTTGAATACTTTCACAATCTGATTATTCCAAAGACAGCTCAGCTATCTGAACAATGTCCACTTGGTATTTGTATTTGTTTAGCACATCACTGAGGAGTTCATTGAAGTGCCATCTACTTCTTTTACATCGAATGGTTGCATTATTCTTTTATAAAAAGATCTCTATTTTGGTCATTTCCAGCTCTTCTCATGGCTAATTCCACCATCCAGAGGCACCTTTCTGTAATGCTGTTACAGTCTGTGGTATATTGCTTAATGATATAGTGCTTAGTCATATATTGATTAGTGGTTGCACATATGAACCCATTATCTTGCAGAATTTAAGAAAGCATATTTTCAAGATGGCTTTTACAAATCAGAGAGTATCTGGAATCCTGGTGGAACCACTGGGATGATGTAGATGTGTTTGCGGGTTGCAAAAGAAAGATGCCCAGAGGGAATTAAATATCCACTCCACCTGGCAGTCAGATGAGGCTGTGGTAGAGACAACTGTCTCCAGTGCTCTGTGGTTACTGTCATCATTGTAAAGTTACAAGCATGGATCAGAATAGGCTGATTTATGAGTTTTGAATATGTTTATAATTTGACTGTTTTAGGAGGGATAAATTATATATTGCATAAGAGGACTGGTGTTTGAACGAAGCAACAAAAAAAAAGCCAACTTTATGCCAAATAAAGATCTTGGACAAGACTGATGAGAAGCCAATGGCAGTAATCAGTGATAAGTTGAATAAATAGGACAATATAGAACAGTAGTTATTTTTCATATTGTGTATTAGATGAAGCAGAGAGAGAGAACTACCGTGTAAGAAGACTGATTATTTTGTAAATATTTTTTTATTACCCTGGAACATGGAATAAGTCAAATCTATGCTAAAGGTCTCTTTTTAGAAGATTTTTTTTTAAAGGGAGCCACTTTTTAAGACGGTGGAAAGACAAATGCATTAAAAATTTACTACAAATGGAAGTAATGTAATAGTAATGGGGTGCCTGTTTATATAGTATTTTTCCAAGTGAGCAAACCTGTGCAATATGGAGCTTTCTAGACATTATACCGAGGTTTGCTGAGAGCATTATGCGCTCACACATCTGCACAGGAGTAAGCTCTCACTAGCAGTACATACAGGTGGTGTTAAAAGCAGAGCACACTAATGCCACAGGATGTGCTCAGATTACATAGTCATCACCCCTGTTAACACATAGGTCTCTGCCACCAAGGCCAGTGGTTAACCTCTGCCTAGTTGGTGCCTGAAATCACTATCTCCTTGTTACAGTGTCTTCTATGGTGGCCTGCCATATCCTGTGAAGAATCAAGCATAGTAGTTGGATAAAATTACCAGGACATCTCTGGGCTGTTCGGTTAGTAGCTCTATATGCAGTTTGGTTAGTGGGGTCAAGACCTGAATACTCTCTCTTGGCAAACTGTTCCAACATTAATTGTCCTCAAAACTTTCCAACAGAGTAGGGGGGGAATTATAATGAGCAAGACATAAAGAGTTCTTCAGATGAACTTTTAGCTGTATAGGGAAAAACAGAACACCAACGAAAATAAATGGATTTACTGGAGGAAGGGAAAAGAGCTGCTGAGGTCTGTGTAACCTGGGAAGAGAAAATTGATATTCAAAGGTAGATTACCAAAATGGGGGAGTGTAGAGATAACAGTGGATAGTGAAGCTGAATAATGATTGCAGGCAGGGTGACAGAATAATATATACTAGCTGAATGTTGAATATGCAAGTAGCAGACTGGAATCCATTTCCGTGGTGTCTCTGGCTAGACATTCATTGTATATGTATACAAGGGTCAGTCTTCATCTGTGCAATAATTTGTCTTTGACATAGGACTTCTTTCTAAAATAATACAAAACACAGACCAGCATGGAGAAGAAGTAAAGTAATATGAAGAAGTGTAAATGTGTGATTCCCTATGTTTGCTTTGTTTGACTTTGCAAACTAGATAATCTATAGTATGTATTTCCATAAGCTCTCTCAGACTTTAATAAAATATAAAACTACACATGCTCAGAAATGTATATTAGTAATCACACTACTTTAATTCAGCAAGTTAGTAATATAGGTTTAAAAGCTTTTATTCAAATTAATTGTTCAGAATTGCTACAGAGTACTAATTCATGTACATATGTTTATAGAGGACTCTGTTATATATGGGTTTGTGCAGGTTTCTTAATTGTATAATATTTTGTACCCTGGAAGCA